TAATAAATCAGGAAAGTTATTAGCTTGGCAGCTTAAAAAAGGAAGGAACAGAACACAATAAATAAAATCAAGGTGGAGGGGAAGAGATAAATAATCCTAAGGAAATAAGGAAGGCCTTTTTGGATTTCTACAGAGGACTTTTAAAAACAGTGAAAGGAATAATCTGAGAAAAATAGAAAGATTTCTAAAATGTAAGAATATAAAAAGATTTCCACAGTGGAGAAAGGAAAATTGAGTGCCCTAATTGAGGTAGAAGAAATCAAAGAAGCAATAAAGGAATTAAAAAAGGAAAGCCCCAGGTCCAGATGGGTTTACTGGTAGCTATTATAAAGAATTGGAGTCTGTCTTGCTGACTCCATTGCAGAAGTAATGAATAATATCCTTAAAGAAAGAGAAATACCAGAGACATGGAAGGAGGCACTAATCACACTAATCCCCAAACAGGATTCAGATTTACAACAGATTAAAAACTATAGACCGATCTCCCTATTAAACATAGATTACAAGATTTTTGCGGGAATTCTGGCAAGGAGACTAAAAAATATATTGGTAGAAAGTATACACAAAGATCAAGCGGGCTTTTTGCCGGGTAGGCAAATGAAGGACAACATAAGAAACATAGTAAATATTATAGAATATTTATCTGACAGGTGTGATAAACAAGGTTTGTTGTTGTTCGTGGATGCAGAGAAAGCATTCGATAACATAATCTGGGATTTCCTGCTGAAACAATTGGAATATATGGAGGTTGGCACTGAATTCTATAACGGGGTAAAGGCAATCTACACGGAACAAAAGGCAAAACTGATAATAAACAATGTGGAGACAGCAGAAATAAGAATAGCAAAAGGAACAAGACAGGGATGTCCACTGTCCCCATTGTTATTTATAATGGTGTTAGAAGTCCTCCTAAATTCAATAAGAGAAAATAAGGGGATAAAAGGAGTAACAGTTGGGCAGAATGAATACAAAATTAAGGCATTCGCAGACGATCTGGTTGTAATAATGGAGGATCCAATAGATTCAATAAAAGAGGTACTCGAAGAATTTGACCAATTCGGAAAAGTGGCTGGCTTCAAATTAAATAAAAGGAAAACAAAAATGATAGTAAAGAATATGAATACAGATAAAACTGAAGAATTACAAAGAGAAACGGAAATAGAGGTGGCCAGAAAGGTGAAATATTTAGGAATATGGGTAACGCCAAAAACATAGACTTATTCAAAAATAATTACGAGACAGTATGGAAAGGAGTTAAGAAAGATATTGAAACATGGGGCAAGCTAAAACTGTCATTTTGGGGCAGAATAGCCACAATCAAGATGTGTGTGCTTCCAAAAGTGTTGTTTTTGTTTCAGAACATTCCTGTAATTAAGGGTATAAAGATATTTAAAGACTGGCAGAGGGTGATCTCAAAATTCGTCTGGCAGGGCAAGAAACCAAGAATAAAATTTAAACTGTTGACAGATGTGAAGGAAAGGGGGCTTTGCCCTGCCAGATTTGAAATTGTACTATGAGGCGTCATGCCTATGCTGGAGTCAAAACATGGATAAAACTGGAAGATAAGGAAGTGCTAGACCTAGAGGATTTAACAACAGATTTGGGTGGCACGCCTATCTATGGCATGGGAGGAGAAAAGTACACAGGGGCTTCGAAAATCATATTTTCAGAGGTCCATTGATTGAGGTATGGGAGAGGAACAGAGATATGTTAGAACCTAAAACACCCCATTGGCTATCGCCACTAGAAGTCATGAGCGTTAAAAAGATTAATATGAGGGACAATTGGGCTACCTATGAACAACTGTTAATGAAAGAAGAAGGAAAGTGGAAAATGAAGCCGTACGAACAGGTCAAAGAGAAAGTCTATGATTGGCTGCACTATTTCCAGATAAACGGAATGTTCAGGAAAGATATTAAAGACAAAGGATATGCTGATAAAGATTCTAGATTCCAGATTGAGATATTGAATAACAACTATAAAATTTTGTCTAAAATGTATAATCAGTTATTGGAATGGAATTTAATAGACGAGGAAGTAAAGTCGGTAATGATATATTGGGCTAGAGATATCGGTCATAATATATATTTTGAAGAATGGGAGAAACTTTGGAAAAAACATCTCAAGTTTACAGCTTGCGTGACACTAAAGGAGAATTTAATGAAAATGTTTTACCGATGGTATATGACTCCTGCAAAATTAGCCAAAATGTATGGAACTTGTAATAAATGCTGGAAGTGCAAGGAAAGGGGGGGGACCTTCTACCATATGTGGTGGGAATGCCAAAAGGTTAAAGGGTTCTGGGAGAGTGTATATAACTGAAATGAAGAAAATTTTAAGATATACTTTTGTTAAAAACCCGAGGCTTTTCTGTTGGGATTGGTAGGAAGGGAGATAAAAAGAAAGATCACAAGCTGTTCCAGTATGCAACAACGGCAGCAAGAGTCTTATTAGCTCAAAATTGGAAATCAGAGGGCCTACCGACAATTGAGGAATGGAGAGCAAAACTATTAGATTATGCGGAAATGGATAAGATGACAGGGAAAATTAGATATTTAAAAGACCAGAGGTTCATTAAGGATTGGGAAAGTTTTACGAAATATCTGGAAAATTTAAGTGATGGACAGATAACACTAGTGGGCTTTAAAGGAGCTCTGTAAAAAGAAAAGAGTATTGTCTAAAGAGAAATGGAAGAACTAGAATGATTAATGGCATTTCAAACTAAGAAATGCGAATTTTTATAAAAGATTATTACGGATGATTTGTGGAAAGGTTGAAGGAAGCCATACTTAAAAACCTGTGAAAATGAGAATCGAACTTTTATATTTTGTTTTTGTATTTTGCATTATGCAAATTAATAAAAATTATGCATACAATAAAACTGTGTGTGTTGCCGGATACCAACTTTCCAATGGTAAAAGCCACATTTTAAATTCAGTCTGCAAAATAAACTTGAACGCTAGTTATTTGCAGGAGAGCAAGCCTTTAACTTGGAGAAAATGGGCCCTGCTCAAAACTATGTTTATGCCTGTATATTTTACTGTGTGATTTAATTTGCATGGACATGCAGAAAATTTATGTAAATGTCCATGCAAATTAAATGTGACCCTGAGTCTCTTGGTAAGGTGCCAGTATGGCCTTGAGCACTACAAAATTTGCAGTGTCTGTATTCTAACAATTTCCTCAAATTATGCTTTCATTTTATTTATTTTTAATGCGAGTTTTATCTACTTAGCAGCCTGATCAGTGCCTCTCTTACTATCAGCTTTGCTAGCACATATAAGTAAACAAACGTATTTATCACCCCTGGGATCAGTAAGTGCTAATAAAGTTGCCGTTGTTTGCATTTTTTACATTTGTTTTGATGACAGACACGTTCTAAATTAGCTATGAATATTTCACTTGCTCCGCAGCTCAGCAGGAAAGGTAAAGATTGCGGGGTTTTCTGTCTTAGGTACTGTACTGAATGTTATCACTGCTAACGGACTTGCTCCCGTGGTGTGCATAAGCAGCCTCATCAATACTGAATCAGTGTGATAGCATCCGAGAGAGAATTTCTGAAGACCTGGATGACTTATAGTTCCAGCAGTGTTTCTGATATAGTAGTAGAAGGGGGCGGTATAACTGAATCTGAGCATCTTTCTTTTTGTAGTCTGATGGCCTTATTATTTTTTAAAATATTCCTGATGTGTGTGTTAAATAAAATGGGTACAATCCAGTAAAAGTCAAGTATTAGTAGATCCTGTTGATTTCTCGCAACATTTTGGCTGAAGTTCTGTATACACTGACCTGGAAGTTAACCACTTCAAATTCCATGGAACTTTCTTCTTAATAGACAATCTTCCCAGGAGCAGAAAGACAGTATAGATTTGGAACAGTGGTTTGCAGAGGGACATAGTTCAGAAGGCAGAAGCTGGGAAATACTGGATGGGGAATAGCTAGCAGAAGAAACACTAGAAGAGAGAGAGTTAACAGATTCACAGTTTCTGGACAGCATTCACCCCCATTCCCCAAGGACACGGAGAGCTCAGAAAGCACAGAGGGTACCAGCTCAGATCACAAGATGCAGTATTGATGTGGTTGACTAGGGACGAAGTGGGTGGAACCCTTAATTGGGAGCACCATCGTTCCTAGGAAATGGATTTGTTCTCTTGCCGTGATTATTAAATTTTCTAACTGGCAAGAAGACTCCTTTTCCTTTGTTCTGCTTATCGACTGCCAAAGGGGAGAGGAAGCTGATTCCCTGAAGCCTGACACTTTGGCTGTACTGGGACTAATGTAGTTTAAAACAAAAAAAGTCTTAATTGAGAGGACATTAACATTGCACTAAGGCCTTTAGGCCTGCCGAAAGGAATGATCCTCTCCTCTCTCCCTCTCGCTTGTGCTGTTCCAGGGGTTTCCTGACCGCCCTCCAAGCTAATTTCAGGGAGCATGGGGGGGGGGGAGGAGAGAGGAGGGAAATGCAACTGCCAGAATTTCTCATTCTCTTTTACATGAGGAAAATAATCGGGCACTCCGAGCCGTATGGGATGATCTTGCATCCCTGGCAGAACCGTCTAGATTGTGCCCCCTAGCCATGGACAAATTAGCCCTTCTTTCCGCCTCTCCTCCAACCCCCCACCCATTCAATTCACCCTCTATTTAAAACCATTTCTTATGAGGCAATAATCAATATTTATATTTATGGACATATTTTAAAGCCGATTTTGTGCCCCCATTGCCTGCACCCCTGGTGGGGGCCCAGCTCACCACCCCATAGCCCTGTAGCCCTGCAGGCACTCCACTATGAGATATTCCCATTTATTTATATAGGGTGATATTCAACCACATCATACTCAAAGTAGACCCAATTATTTATTTACTTTTGCATTTATATCCCACCCTTCCTCCAAGGAGCTAAAGATCGCCGACATGGGTTTCCCCTTCCTCGTTTTATTCTCACAACAACCCATGAGGTAGATTTTGATAAGAAAGAGTGACTGTCCTAAGGGCACCCAGTGAGCTTCATGGCTTAGTGGGGATTTGAACCCTGAACTCATGGGTCCTAGCCCAACACACTAACCACTGTGCCATGCTAGCTTAGCTTAGTCTGATATACCGTATTTTTTGCTCTATAAGACTCACTTTTTCCCTCCTAAAAAGTAAAGGGAAATGTGTGTGCGTCTTATGGAGCGAATGCAGGCTGCGCAGCTATCCCAGAAGCCAGAATAGCAAAAGGGATTTCTGCTTTCACTGCGCAGCGATCCCTCTTGCTGTTCTGGCTTCTGAGATTCAGAATATTTTTTTTCTTGTTTTCCTCCTCCAAAAACTAGGTGTGTCTTGTGGTCTGGTGCGTCTTATAGAGCGAAAAATACGGTAATTTCTCTCTCACAGAACAGAGCGCAAAATGGCTGTATATATGGAATGTGGATTGGGGGCCTATTGTTACAATCAGTGGTATACAGCTGTACAATAAGTGCTTAGATAATTTGGCAGTTTAGCCATTAAGCACCATTGATTCCACCTGGACGTAAGTATGCTTGACATCTCTGGACTGTACCCAAATAATTGTTATCTCGCAGCACAACATTGCATTTTCATCCAGGGGCTACAATGATTCATGCACAGTAAAAGATTTATAGTCTCAGAATGAAAAGCAGCAGGCAAAAACCAGGTACCCTTTGTAGAGTTCAAGGTAAAAATGGGTTTTTAAATGAGAATGCGTGCTTTCCAGTCAGGATTATGTCAAGGTGGTGGGGGAGCTTATTGCAAAATGGGTGACATAAATGACCTTTCAGTTGAGCAACCTGCCTACTGTCTACTGCCCCACAGAATTGTGTGTGTGTGTGTGTGTTTGGCAATATTTGTTGGTTCACTTATTGTTAGCTGTTAATTGCTGCTGGCAAGGAGACATGGTATACCAGCAACACATATTTTACAGAAATTATTAATCTTATGATGCAGTAGTCTGGAAGTCCATAATGTTATATGTGAAACTACTGGTTTAGGGGAAATTCCATATCGTGCTTGGATTGCTGACAAATTTCTTAGTGAATATCCTTACAGTAAAAGCACCAGTTTCCCAGACTTTTTCTGTTGTGCAGTGCCAGTAGAGAAATATATGCATCTTTACCTCGAGATCTCAGAAACTGAAATGCTTTCTCATCAGTATGCACCAAGGCCTTGGAAGCTCCATGCTGATACATCTGTTTAATTTAGGAAATTTAAAATTGGCTTTGCAGATGTTGGGAGAAATAGAGTGTGCTGTTTATTTTCAGTTCAGTTTCATCACACGCTGCCTGTTATGCATGAATATATCCATCATTCTGGAGCGTATATTCTGTATAGCTTTGGAGCACATTTATGTTTAGTTGAACCCATTTAGAGTGGGCATATTTATGCACCGCCTTTTATATCTGTACAATAAAGCTACCCACAGTACAATGATATGTGAATGAGGCCAAATACGTCTGCAAATTTGCAAACAAGGTCCCTCTGTAACTTTCATGGCTGAATGGCGATTTGAACCCTGGTCTCCCAGGTCCTAATCTTACAACTAACCACTCTAAATGGAAGAGGCAACTCTGCTAGTTGTCTCAGTTATTTAGAGAGAGATAAACGTACCTGAGAAAATATTTGCCAAAGTGTCTTCAAAAAGGCAAAGGAACCTGAATTTGCAAGTGTGTAGGGATTCTGTGGTAGCTTTGTTAATTACAATTAGTTGCCTATTGAGGTATTAAATTGCTTGATTAGACTAGAACAAATGGGCTCTCTTAGCATTTGAAATTAAGGGAGGCTTGCTGTCAGAATTCACATCTTTTGTTCCTATTGTACTCTATGACTGTATAATTGGTTTTTTTTTTAAAAAAAACATTTTGGCAATCTAGGCTGTTCTCCACTTTATGCATGGAGCAAACATTACAGATCTTCGTACACATATTTATCTACAGATATTTTGCATGGGATTCCATCCTAGCTCTGCAGGGGAAAAATTGTTCTGCTGCTTAGATTTCAGCTTCGTATTGTGTGTAGGTTGGACTCTTCACATTTGATCCTCTCAGGGAAAGGCCTAGTATCCTATGTTCTATGTTCCTTTTAAGAATTTAATATCAGTTCTAGAAGTTACAAATAACTCGAGTCAGAACTAGCTACCCCAATTATTTCCAGCTGAGATGTTCCAAAAATAGTAACTAAAGTACATAAACCTCCAACATTTTTCAGCTGAAAATATGGATGTTTGTCTTTTGGTGGTGTGCTGCTGTGCGAGTCAGCTGGCTCAGGAAGGAGCATGGCACCAAAGGACATGTGAATCAGCTGGCTGCCTCACCTACTGCAGTCCCTACCTGGCAGCTGCTTGCTCCTTTCCTCCTTGTTTGCTGTCTCCACCTGCGCCACACCTCATGCCACCATGGCAGTGGCAATGGCAGTGGCAGTGGATTTGGCGGCAGCAGAAAGTGGCCAGCAAGAGTGTTGCACATGTCTGCCGCCTCCGATCTGGTGGAGAAGTGCCTCCCTCATGACCAAAAGGGGGGAAACAGGACATTCTTGAATGAAATCAGAAGCCAAGATAGCTTCTGTAATTCCGTGAATGTCCCAGGAAAATAGGGACACTTGACGGTCATGAAAGTATGGTCATAACTAATAGAAACTGAGACAATTAAACAGCAGCTCTTACTTGGGCCCGGCATAACAGCTGTATTCAAAATAGAGTACAGGCCAGAGCTTTGGCCTTCTATATGTAGAGCAGGGCTGGGGAAATTTTAGTTCTCCAGATGTTGTTGGACTGCAACCTTCACTATTGGCCATGCTGGCTGGGGTTGATGGGAGATGTAGTTCAGCAAGATCTTGAGGGCTGAAGGCTTGTCATCCCAGTATAGAATCTTGCATGTGTGTCACTGTGTAGATGCCAGAAACAAACAATGCAAAAATGAGGTTTAAAAAGGAGCAATAAATAAAGAATATGTTGTATTTTCCAGCTGGTTTTTTTTTAAAGCCAGCCGATGCCTGTAATGCCAAAAAATGCATTAGCAATATTTTTTCAAGCAGGTAATAGGAATGGAATTTTACTTTCTCATAAGAACAAAGATTAAAATCAAGGATACAAAATCCTAAAAGTTGAGGAAGCACCACCTTGCTAAGACCCTCTATGTTGTTGTTGTTTAGTCGTGTCCGACTCTTCGTGACCCCATGGACCAGAGCACGCCAGGCACTCCTGTCTTCCACTGCCTCCCGCAGTTTGGTCAAACTCATGGTGGTAGCTTCGAGAACACTGTCCAACCATCTCATCCTCTGTTGTCCCCTTCTCCTTGTGCCCTCAATCTTTCCCAACATCAGAGTCTTTTCCAGGGAGTCTTCTCTTCTCATGAGGTGGCCAAAGTATTGGAGCCTCAGCTTCATGATCTGTCCTTCCAGTGAGCATCCCGAGGTACCACTGTATTTAAATCCAACAAAGAACTCCTGTCCTTCCAGTGAGCACTCAGGGCTGATTTCCTTCAGAATTGATAGGTTTGATCTTTTTGCAGTCCATGGGACTCTCAAGAGTCTCCTCCAGCACCATAATTCAAAAGCATCAATTCTTCGGCGATCAGCCTTTTTTATGGTCCAGCTCTCACTTCCATACATCACTACTGGGAAAACCATAGCTTTAACTATACGGACCTTTGTTGGCAAGGTGATGTCTCTGCTTTGTAAGATGCTGTCTAGGTTTGTCGTTGCTTTTCTCCCAAGAAGCAGGCGTCAGTAGTTTTTTAAAAAGCTCCTTTTGCAAAAACTCGTTAAAATGTAACTGAATGGATCCCCGTTCAGTCATTTGGTAGTGTGAAGGGGCTCTCCAAAACTCGCCAGCTAGCCTTGCCTCCTAGATTCTGACACATTCACTGCCTGCGGCACTGGTGCACAATTGGGTCAGACTGAAAGAGGCTTACACATGTAGGGCTCTCTCCATAGGCATGGAAGACCCTGGTTGACCATCATTTCTGTTGCTTTGGAGAAAGCCCTGCATGCTTACAATTGTATGTGCATAGATCCCCTTCACACCGATGCTGATGATACGTTGGCATCTATGGAAAAGGGATAGCCTGCTCTGTCTATTCACATTCTAACTGCATGCATGAAGAGGACTTGAGTGTCAAAGGGGCGCTGCCTCTGATGTCCTTTGGCACAGCCTGTCATCTGCCACCTCATATCAGTATACAAGAACAGCTTTGTATCCCACTGACCCCTTCTTAGACTTGTATGGAAAATGTTCTCACACCTGTCTGAGCTTGAAAGTGATGTGTTGTCCCAAGCTTAATTGCACTAGATATTTCCGTGCGGAATATTATGCAATATTTTTGTTTGCTGTGTCTGGCAGAGAGAAAATATAAATTGCTTTGCTTTAATTTTGTCAGCAATTGGCCTTAAAAAAAAATCAATCCGAACATTAATTTGACTAGAGAGAGAGAGAGAGAGTGTTTGTATGTTGGGTGTATTAAACATATATATCAAGGGGAGGGAAAACCAATTCATCATCCATTATATTTTGCTTCCTCTTTAGGGAAATTTACTTTCTGTTTCTTACAAGACACAATTATAAATGTTTTCCAGACCTGCCAGACTAATTTTGTTTTAAAACCTATTGCACAGTAGTTGTATGGGGAGGAACATTGTGCTGTCATGAGTCTCTCTCCCCATGCATGTACTTGTTTAGATCTTTTTAATGAACTTTGCTTTTATACGTGCACCAGGCTCCTGAATGAAGCATGTGATAAGCAGAGCTTAGTGGCCCTCTAAGCAAGTCAGTCCACCCCCCTGCTGCCAGGAATCCAAGATGTCTTTCAAGCTGGATTAGCTGACCCTGCCAAAGAGCTAAAAAATAAATAAATGGTGGTAGCTGAAGGAAGGTCAGAGGACACCTCAGCATTGGAGAGGGTGCACATCAGCTGCTTGTACTGAGTGAAGAAGCATGGCACAAACTGACCAGGGATTTCTTTTGATTCTGAATGGGCTTGCATGCAAAGCATGTTAATAAAGAGGAGGCAGGAAAGGAGATTGTTGTTCTTGAGGACATGATGCATTCTGAAAATGGAAAATTCTCCCCAGAGTGGCAGAATAGGCATGTA